TTTTTTAATTTTTTTTTTGATTTTTTTTCTTTTTTTTTTTTTTTTTTTTTTTTTTTTTTTTTTTTTTAAGAAACCACGACTCGGGAATCTAGATCTATTGAGTAACGTAAAAAGAGTAGAAAAATATATTCATATTTCGTGTAATAATCTGTCTAACACACTCGTTAAAAGTTATCAGTATACATTAAGCTAGTATCATTAGCAAGCTGTGTTGCAATTTCCTTTTTCTGCGTCCGCAAATACCGCTCTATTTCTAAAACCTGTTTCATAACTAATCATAAAACTGCTTTACTTCGGACTCTCTCTCGTTTTTTTCCTAGAAGTGGACGTAGTTTCACCTGCGACACAATCTTTTTCCTCGTTTCGCTTCAAACATCAATTTCAACTCGTTCGTACCACACGCAGTCTATCAAAGGGGAGAATAATTTATTTCATCGTACAATTACACGCGAGACCGAATTCCCTCACTCGTCCGTTTCAATTTCTAATTTAACTTATCCAATTTTCGTTATAAAATTCCCACGGTGGATAAAAATAATTCAGCGTCCCCTGGGGGCGAGATTTCTTTTTTCCCACCAGTTCGTTTCAACTTCTGGCTCGCTTCGATCGTCGTTACGCAATTTCATAAAGAGAGATAAAAATAGTTCATACTCAAATAGATACTTCACTGTTCTACTGTTCTACATCAACACCCACTAATCTCACCTCTCCATCTTCGTTTCTCCTCGTTTATTTCAGCTTCCACTTCAAATCCATTTATACTTCATCAAAACTAAAAATACTTCAACGTCAAACACGTTACACGAGCCCCAATACATGTTTCTGGCGATCTCGAAAACTATACAGCCTCAACGTCATCATTCTCCATCATCAACACGAATCTCCTTCATTTGCATCATATTTGCCATCCAAAAGTGTTACATCTTCGTTGTAATCCTCCATCTGCTTCATTTTCACCTTTCATCGTTCAACATGACGAAACTTGGAGTTTCTTTTTTTATTGCAAAATGATCCTCTAGACCAATGTCTCTTAATCTCTGATACGTGGACACAAATAATTAAGAGGAAACAGACTTGGATATATTATTTATTATATATATTATATTATATATTATTATTTATTATATATTATATATTATTATTATTTATATATGTTATTTTTATTTTATTTGTATTTTTTATTATTATTCTGGAATGAAGTAAAAATATAAATACAATAATTATTTCAAGTAATATGCAGCTATATGAAGCAATAGATTGTTCGATTCGTCATTTTATCATTTTTGAAATGTACAACGAAGAGTATAATAGAGCAGTAGCAGTGAAAAGTAAATTTAAACTTCGATATAACTTCGTAAAAAAAAAAAAAGAAAAAAAAGAAAACCGATTTACACAACGATCCAGTCGGTCTCATTTTAAATGAAGCCACTTTCGAGAATGACTTTACGTCATACAGAGATATTTTCTTCTCTCGGCAATTGTAAAAATTCGATCGTCTGTAAAAACATAAGAATTCATTCAATTATCCTCTTCACTGCGTGTCAATCTATTACTCGAACAACATACAAGCCTGAGAGTAAGTGGATTTTCAGTGATAACAGAAAACGAGTCTTTTCAAAGAGTTCCGTGATAATCGAGAGATTAAGAAACGTCGATCTAGATTGCAGAGCGATGGATCGTTGCACCATTAGCCTTGATAGACCGATCGAGGTGAAACAAGAGCGGTGACGACCGATAACACGGTTTTTCGCGGGTGTATATCACGACTGCGCTGCGTCGTTTGCGTAACCACGACCCTGAAATTCACCGGCCAGGGCATCGACGACTGCTAAAGACTGGTTTTCTACCTTCGTTTCGCTCGATCGGCGCACGAAACGTCGCTAGCAGGGAGGCTTAATAACGGGCTCGTTAATGCATCGTGGAAAATTACTGATCCATTTGCCCAACCAGCCGTGAAACGTGTCCCCTGTTACTCGCTCGTCCTCTTCGTCTTCTACCCCCTCTTTTTCTCTTTTCTTTCTAATTTACACCGTGTCGCGATGGTGTCAGTCTCAACACGGAATACGATAAATAATTTTTACTCTAATGTACACAGAGGGAACGATTTCTCTGGATCGGGAGAATACTCAGAATACAGAATAGGTTGGAATGGAAATTTCTAACATCGTCGTGGAATTTCGTGAAAAAAAAAAGAGATGATGACATAGGTTTGAGTGTGTTTTAATGGAGGTTACGCAGTTGAAGTTGATTGGAAGTTGGGTCACGAATCTTTTTGTAAGCGCTTCTTTACGTATTCTTTGTGTCTACTGTGTCTTAAGATTGTAAAAAATTCAGGTGAATGTGTCTGCAAGTTTTGACAATGATTCTATGGTGTTTTGATTGAAGAATTCTTAATTGAACATTCATCATTATTCTATTAATCGGCGGGAATTTTATTTGCCATAAAATCCTACAATTTCGATAGTAATTTTAATTGAGTAATCTATATTTTAAAATCTAATAATCGAGTAATAAAGCCTGTACTTCAAAATCTAATAATCGAAATAATAATTTCAAACTTCAGAATTTCAACTTGAATCTCGAAATTTCAATTCTACAATAATACTGCAATAATAATGTATAATAAAATCTACGATAATAATTTTCAACTTTAGAATCTCAACAATGACTTTCAATTTCAAAGTCTACAATAATCCTGTGCAATAAAATCTATAATAATAATTTCGAATTCTGGAATTTTTAATGACTCGAATTTCAAACTTTCAATCTCGAAGTCTATAATAATATCTGCGATAATAATTTCGAATTCTGAAATTTTAAATGACTCAAATTTCAAACTTTCAATCTCGAAGTCTATAATAACGTCCACGATAATAATTTCGAGCTCTGGAATTTTAAATGACTCGAATTTCAAACTTTCAATTTCAAAGTTTATAATAATGTCTGCAATAATAATTTCGAACTCTGGGATTTTAAATGACTTGAATTTAAAACTTTCAATCTCGAAGTCTATAATAATGTCTGCAATGATAATTTCGGATTCTGGAATTTTTAATGACTCGAATTTCAAACTTTCAATCTCGAAGTCTATAATAATGTCTGCAATAATAATTTCGAACTCTGGAATTTTAAATAACTCAAATTTCAAACTTTCAATCTCAAAGTCTATAATAATGTCTGCAATGATAATTTCGAACTCTGGAATTTTAAATGGCTCAAATTTCAAACTTTCAATCTCGAAGTCTACAATAATAAGTTCGAACTCTGGAATTTTAAATGACTCAAATTTCAAACTTTCAATCTCGAAGTCTATAATAATGTCTGCAATAATAGTTTCGAACTCTGGAATTTTAAATGACTCAAATTTCAAACTTTCAATCTCGAAGTCTATAATAATGTCTGCAATGATAATTTCGAACTCTGGAATTTTAAATGACTCGAATTTCAAACTTTCAAAGTCTATAATAATGTCTACGATAATAAATTCGTACTCTAGAACATCAACGATAACTTGAATTTCGAAATTTCGATTCGAAATCCACAAGAATTGTTCTGTTCCTTCAACTTTCTACTTATCGAAACAGCCCCCAACGACTAAAAGTCTAAAAGAGCAATTCCAGTCCCTCGTGTCGCCACTTGCCCGCTCGAAATTTATGCGTAACAACCCCTTGGCGATGTTCGATGCGTCGATTCCACGGGTCGTAACTTCCACGTAGAATAACCACCACCTGCTCGTAAAACTCGAAAATGTAGAACCGAAGGGATTCAACCAGCGCCTCCTTTCGACAACCTCAGGAATTCGCCGATAATTCTTCGAGGACGATCGGACAGTCTGATCGGAGAATCCATCGTGGCGACGATGCGACGACTCGTATCTATTGTAAATGGCATGGCACTTCCTTCCGCCTAGTAGCTAATAGAAATCCGTGCTACCGGTGGTTCGTAGTCCACGAGCTCGCACTAAATTCAGTTGTAAGTAACGCCAGAAGCGGCAGATAGCTGTTAATGGCGGTCTCCACGAGCGACCTAATGCATCTTGATAACTCTCTTCGTTCTTCCCGCCCCTTCACGTTCACCGCTTTACGAGCGTTTCGCGCTACTAACCGCCGTCGAATTCGAACAGCTTATCAGCGATTTCACGGTGCCGAGATGGCCAGCACGCGTCGTCCAAGACGAAATGCGTCGGTTAATCGCTTCTGTCACCTATAAGGACAAGGTGGAGCCGCGTTGGAGAGGGTCGAGTGGCAAACGAGTGGATGTATCGAGTGGTTGGTCCTGGCAGGCAGACGGTTGGCGAAGGTTTAACGGAGCATGCATGAGGCATTGGGTCCCTTGAGTCTGTGGCAGAGGCTATTTAAGTTGAAAAATAAAATGCTTGGGACGTTTTGGCTGGATAGTGTGAGATAAGGCGTATTAGAATTTTTTTCTTTTTTTTTTTTTTTTTTTTTCTTTTTGGTGTTCTGATCAGTGTAGAATAAATTATATTTTATAAATTATATAAATTGTAATTGTACCAATGATAGTGAAAAATTATCATTTGAACAATTGATGTATAACTTCGTAAAGAAAGATCATGTTAAGGAAGATCCACTTGTTTTCGTTTTAAAGCATGAAGTCTCTATTTTGACAGTCGTGACTTCGTTTTTTTTTTTCTGTTTTTTTTTTTAAGGGAAACTCAGAAAAAATTGTCTATATCCAAACGTGTGTCAAAACATTTTGTTTCGCGAAAATTAGAATTTTTCTCACTAAACGTATCACGATTTTGAAGAATAAAA